CTCTTTCCCACCAGAAATAAGGAGGCAGTTTGTTCCAACTTTGTTCCCCGTATTAGTTGTGAAAAATGAAGTCAGAACTTTCCTCTTCTTTCTGAACTCTGTCCCCACCCCGGCTGGAAGTTAAGTCATTCGGGCTGTGATGACTCCCTTGGAAAAAAGCTATTAAGCAAATGACTGTTCCCAGGAGCCAGGGAGAATTAATGCACCGATTGATGGTGAAAATCTACCCAGGCGTGGGGGAAGACAGCCATCAAACTGCTTTTCGACTCTGTGCTCAGGCCCATGGGCTGAGGCTGCAGCTTGTTTATACACTACTGGTTCCGACCCCTGCCTTCACAGAACAGAGCCGGGGGAGTCCTCAGGCTTTCCTACTCGTGGACAGCTGTGGAGCTGTGTGCGTGTCTTTCATGCCCCTGCCCCTTTGTGCAAAGGCAGGAAAACAGTGTCTGTAGCAGTGTTCTGTGTGTGTGTGAGTGTGTGTGCATCTGTGTGTGTGTTTAAGGTGGTGCAATGAGTCAAAAAAACACAGGCTTTGCAGTCAGACAGCTCTGGGATTAGGTCCTGCCACTTAATAGCTCTGTAATATTGAACAAATCATGCAACTTTTCCTCAATTAGAAAATAAATATGATGATTAGCACCACTACCACCACCACCACCACCCCACACACACACACAAAGTCGTGTCTAAGGTAACAGTATATGGGGCTGGCAGGTGGCGTGGTAGTTGGGACGCTAGACTCCCACATGGGTAACCATCGGTCAAGTCCTGAACCTGGTGGCTTGCTTTCTCACTTTCCTTTCCTCTCTCTCTCTGGTCAAATGAAAAATAGTAATAATAACAAATAAAATTAAATAAGTAAATATTTTTTTAAAAGATAACATTTTTGATCACTCAAAAGTGATCACTTAAAATTTAAAAAATCACAATTTTGGGGCGCGCTGGTGGCCTAGTGGTAACACAATACAAGGCTTGAAATTTGCATAGGAAGCCTGCCTGTTCACGCCAGGCATAAGGGTGGGGTGGATCGCGGTGTGACGATCCTGTAGGGTTGTCCACCTCTTTATCTTGCTCTCTGTCTCAGGAAAGAAATGAAAACACTTTAAAACACCAGGATCCCTCCCATCCTATCGTGCATCTCCTCTCCAACAACTCCCTGGGGAATTCAGCAGGTGCACGCTGTGGTTCTGCGTTCCCGCCAGGGGTCGCTGCTCCTGGTGGAGAGCGTTCTGACCTTCTCTATTCATAACTTGGAGGGCTGGTGCCAATTTCTAAAGATCCTCGCGTGGTTTGGGGCTGAATTTTAACCCTTCTCGCTCACCTCTAAGGTGGCGAGTTCACTTAGGACTGCCAGAGGATGGGCTCTTGAGGCTGGGGCTTAGCGTGGGTCTCTGGGGCCTCCAGTGCCCTCTCTGGCCACGGCGGCAGTGACCCACAACCTCCGCGTGTGCGCTGCTAGACAGAACCTCTAAGTGTAGTGGATTCGCTACTCTTATGTATGGCATTAAAGTTTTACTGGGTAAGCTGATATTTGCCACCTAATGGGAAAAAAGAAAGCAAAAGGCTTATCTGGTTTAACGGATCCATATAAGCAGACACTGAAAATGGCAAGTATGAAGCTCTACATTTTTGCACAGTCCAGCTGGAGGGATTAACAAAGCTACCTAATGGCTGAAGCCATCTTTCCTATAAGCCTAATGGGAACACGAAATGCTGCTTTTCTATTTAGTAAGCAACAGAGCTCGGAGTCGTTCCCCATCTGTTATTGTTAGATCATGGAAGACGACTCTCCCGGGGCCTGCGAGCGGGGCCATGGATTCCATCTTAACTCACTGCGTTGGTCCTACAGATCTGAGATGCTAATAGTGTGGTGATATTTACGAGGTGATAACACCAGGGTTTGGTCGGGTATTTTAATATTGTTAGTGACTTTTATATTTGTTTGCAAAAACAGAAATGGAACAGCAAGTTGAAGGAAACGTTTTTGTCATTTTGCATCTCAAATTTATTTCTGCTCTAATACTTTACTCAAATTAAAATCCCTTCTACCAAGACACCAGACTTTCCCTGACTGCTGGTTCTCACGTAAGACTAACTTGATCTGGGTCTGATCATCACTGTACATCCTGGCTGGGATGCTGTTTTCATGAGTATGATCCATGGAATCTCAAGGTCCTGTCTAGAAATGGTTACTATTCTTACTTCAAAATACGAGAGCCCGGCTCATCTCAGATCATGTGCAGGCAAGGGAGAGGGGTGGTCCATTCTCTTGTTCATCATATTTTTCTCATTTATCCTGTTTCTGATTAACAAAATGAAACATGTTTTCTAGTAGCTATTTTTCTTCCTTAGGTGTGAAGATCTGGCATAGACTGGGGTACTCCTAATGAGAGAGGTACTTTCTTATGACTTTTTTGAAAATTTGCTTTAATTTTTTAAAAAATGGCTCCATTGAGATAGCACCGATACACCCAAAGGCTGCATATACGTAGTATGCA